TGTGGTGGCTGGCTTAAAGTTCAGAGGTTCAGTCCATTATCATAACAGGAAATGGTGGCATGCAGGCAGACATCAGGCTGGACAGGTGGCTGAGAGTTTACAACTTACCTGAACAACAGGAAGTTAGCTGTCTCACTGGGCAGGACTTCCTGGAGCAATTTGAGTTATTCACTTCCAATCTTAAGGAATTCCTGCTGGGTGGAACACCCAGCTCCTCCTAGAACACACTCTTGTTTCAATTCCTTGTAAAAATACTGTCCTAAATATCCTGTTGTTTTCACCTCACTTTTGCATCCTGTGTCTTAGGAAGTTTCTCTCCAAGATGGCAGGTTTTAGCCTCAGAGGAAACCACAAGCGGGTGGGGGGAGGAAGGGCTGGACCTGGGAGGAGTTGGGGGAGAGGTATGACCAGAATACATTGTAGAAATATTCCAAAAACTCATAAATGAGGGAAGTGTTGATACATGTATTAACCCTTATGTTTTCACCTGACATGTAGAATGTAGATGAATCCAGAGACTTGATTTTCATACCTATTGTCCAAAGTGGTTACTTTATACATATTTGGCATTATGCGTATCGTTGGTGTTGACACTCCTGCAAGCTTCTGATATGTGAGTCTTGCTGAGGTAACTAAAGATTTAAATAGTTAATTCAGTTACAGAGACAGCTAATGTGGCTGGAGACATGACTCAGCCACTCAGGGAGGGAAGGAAGGGTTCGATTCCCAGCACCCCCATCAGGTGCCTCACAACTGCCTGTAACTCCAGTTCCCGGGATCTGATGGCACCTTCTGACCTCTGTGGGCATTACACTTACATGTGCGCGCACGCACGCACACACACAATCTCCCAAGACAAGCACAGAAGATTATAGAGTATTGGGGGATGTTGGTGGCAGAAGGCAACGAAAGAACGGGCAGCTGTCCTGATGAGGTGTCCACACCAACCCCTGCAGGAAACAGTAACAGCCTTCAAGTTCCCCCACCCACACCTACACCCAAGACAGAGGTCAACAGAAAAGGGGAGTAGGGACCAGGGAAACATCTCAGTGGAGACTAGCACATGGTGTGAAAACAAGAGAATGTGAGTTCAAACCCCGGCGCTCACATGAACATCTGGGCATGGCATGGTGTACAGTGCTAGGGAGTGAACGCTTACATTGAGAACGGAGATGTATTGATCAGGTCAGGCCAAGACCAAGTTCTCAGCCCAAAGATCTATTTGCCCCAGAGGGCAGAGAGCTGGGAATAAGACTAACACAGGAGAAAGAGGACAAGGGAGAGAAGGAAGGGAACAAGGGGGAGGACAGGGGTATTTGTCCCAGAGGGACAAAGACTGCATCTGTGTAGAGAATAGGCAGGTGGGGCCCACAGGCAAATGGCAGTTGAGAAAGGTAGACAGGGAAACTCCCTGTCAGAAGGAGGTGTTTAATTTGGTTTGGGCGTGTTAATTAGGGCAGAAGAAAGGGGGCTTTAGATTGCTGGACTTCAATCCTGAGATAGCTGTACTTGGTAGTCAGCCTCAGGAGGAGGAAGTAGCCAAATAAGGGACTAGACCTTGATGGATGGTTTAGGAATGGACTCTGATGTTTAATTTAGCAAGGCAGAGGGAACGGAGGAGAAGGGCG